CCGCAAAAGTGAAACGGACAAACTTCGGTCGTTACTGGCTAGGACGTGTGAAAAAAAATGTACGGCAGCTTGATGTTCCTTCCATACGATAAAGAAAGAAAGGAAGATGACGCATTCTTCTTCTCTTTTTAAACGGGCGTGTCCGTCTTCTTTTCTTTCTCGTCGTCTTTGATGTCCGTGTGATGTCCGTTTACGTATTTGGTGCTCGCATGAATTGGATTCTCTTGGCCACCCTGCGGCACGTTTGTGATGCCCGGGTACTTGTGATCCTCGTCGTCTTCGGGCGCAATGTGCGCCTCACTTCCGGCGCCAACATCACCCGTAGTCTCCTCGTCGCCGCGACGCCTCGCTGCAACAAGCAACGCCACGATCGGTCAAGGCAAATGTGTGGATTCTATTTTTCTCTGCTGTTATTTTTCCTCTTTGTATGCTTTCTATATAAAGGCAAATTCACTTGTGTTCAAAAAGATATACCCGTCCCGACTACTGAATGTCGTTTATCTTGTCAAAGAATCAAATTGTCAAACACCTTTCTGACATTATGTTATATTTTCTCGCAAATTTCGTAACCAAGCACGAAAAGTTTACTCCCACAAGTTGCAAATTGTAGCTTTTTCTAGAGATACTCGTAAAATAAAACAAAACAAATTGATCTTCGATGTTTGTACTTGTAGTTATTGACATTATGTGTCCAGAGAGTACTGTAATATTATAATAAAAAAAAAACAATATCCACGTGTCTCTCTTTATGACTTAATACGTGTTGTATCCGTATTCTTCTACAGAATTTATTTACCTGCAGGAGTGTAACGATCATTACGCGATCAATGTAATAACGTGATAAGTCAACTATGCTGTAAGTCTCACAACTATCGCACCATGTGTCGCGTAGCTAATAGCGAGCACTTTTGAAGTGAGAGTGTGTACAGTGTGTGAAAATGTCATGATAACATCAAAGTAAAAAATATATTACTCTACCTAATATAATAAAAATATATTATTCTATCTAATAATCTATACTACTAACATTCTCGTTGTGCAGGCAAAATAATACATGAAACATTCAGTTTGCATTGCATTATGTGTTTTACAGAAAGTATAAATTATTACGAACTATTAAAAAAAAAAAATCATCATATCGTAACATTCACAGTCATCGTGATCAATTGCGATAAATCTCGATTAAAGCAAAATAAATTTTCAAATTGTTAAGCTCAAATGTTACTTGTCAACATTAGCCAATTAGCAAAGAATACTGCACACTTAATTAATCTGCGCTCGGGACAAATAAATGGCAAGGGAATTCTGAAATGACAAACATGCTTGCAGAATTCAAAAAAAAAAAAAAAAAAAAAAACTTTCAGTTCATTCCAGCTGATGTAATAAGAAACAAAATAGTAAAATGGCGACGAGTAGCGTCAAAAAGTGCGCGAAAGTAAATCGGTCTCGTGTTTCCGATTGGGAAAATCTTATCACATTTGCCTTTACCGATTTCTTATCGTTGCTTGTTACAAGAAAACAAACAAAAGAAACATTCTGTTTCTCATAAGCGTTTACTCGAATTTCGACAACAGTTTCAAGATCAACTCGTGTAGCGGAAATAGCAAAGTATAATCTTTTGTATAAATTATTTGATTGTGCAGCACTTTATAGCTCCTTTTATAGTGCGGCAGTGGTAAATAATCGTACGTTTTGTATATTTCGTTGTTATAAATGATTGAAGAAAATAATTACAAAAAAAAAAAAAACGATATACTGTAAACGATAATGTTAACAATAACATGTAGAATATAAACAGGCCATAAGACTTGCAATAAGTATATGCTTACATTACTGTTAATTATCTACGGAACAGGTACTATTGACATGCAATGGAAGTATTCGATAGTATAAATAATGTGTATCTCTATAACGAGAGATTTTTATTCACAAGAGAATAATAGCCATTGATTCGATGCAATTGTACAAAAAATGTAATCGTTAAAAAAATTTACACAGTTATATTAAAAATTGCAATCTAGTCATGTTTAGAAAAGTATACGTTTTCTGCCGCATATAACATATAGTTTAGAGGTCTTTATTCAGAATAAAATATCGGTAAATAATAATATAGATGAGTCACATAATCGCGCAGAATGACTATTATTCCACAAGATATGTATTTTACACATCTTATCTCCTATCTTTTTTTTTACGTGTTCCATATTATTATTATTAAGTCTTTTATATTTCTTTCTCGTTCATTAACATACCACACGAAACAAAATGGCTTCACGATTATTTCGCGAATACGATATACTTTTATGAGATATACATGAAAATGTGTATTAACGTCGCCGAATTTGTTCTCTAGAATGAATCATCGGAATTCTTAAATGTACTTCTACGAAATAATTACGTGAGAGTCGCGCGAATTATCGGGAAAACAGCTTTATCGGTCGATTTTAATTGTCCGAAACAGTATGTTGGCCTCGAAAAAAAAATCTCGCCGCGCGCTAAACTCTGCGGTCTCTCCGCGGTTTCTGTTGGAATTCTCGATATTGCAATACGTACTGTTATTGCGTCACTATCAGGCTGTAAATTAGACCGCATGCGAGAGAGAGATTGTGAGAATTTAAATTCAAAATATTTCTCGCTTGAAAAATCTCTATAAAATACCGAACGTCGAGGAATTAGATTTAGTTGCTTTTTAAAAATATCATAATCCTTTTAAAAAAATTTCTTTCCCTGTGAATACGTTGTATTACGTTTTTTTTTAAAAAAATCTCTCTTCACATATAAACGGAATGGCAGTATGCGACGTGTATTTCAAGTTAAAAACTATAATAGCTATAAAACGTGACAAAGAATAAGACATGAACAAAACTTGAACGCGAGATAGACGCACAATTATTGATGAAACAGATGTTTATCGATTATATATATATATACATATATATATAACACGAGTCGATGAAACGTATATCGACACATGCCAAATAAAAACTGATAATGCGGCGTAAAAATTCAAGAATATGTCGAGGTATTGCAGCAAGACGCGCGAGCGATGAAAAGCGTGAGCGAAAAGTGTGTTAAATTTGAAGGAAAAGAGAGTCTACTCTTCTCTCTAAACGAATAGACGAGTATCATGGTCGTTGATAAGCTGGACGTTGAAGATGATGGCGCGGAAGAATAAAGAGAGAGAATGTCGTGAGAAGGCTGACAAAAATGATCGCGCAGAAAAAGAGGTGACGAGCAGACGGACGGACGTACGGACGGGTCGATGATAAACGAGAACGAGCATTATTTCAGCGAGGGGTTGTGTTTTGCCCTGCCTGAGGCGACTTACCCCTGGACAGTGTCATGCCTAGAGTACGGAATCGCAAGGTAATCGCTGACGTATCTCCGTATTCTTTACTTGGCCCGACTCGCATGCTGTCCTATATCGGCGTAGTAGCGGCACAACACATAAGATATTTGTATACGTTCAGCAAAAAAAGTATGTACTTATATATACATATATATACTTAAATATATACATATGTGTAAAATAGTAAGAATATATGATAATAGCATTAAACAGCTGCTTTTCTTCCCGGAGAGCGCACTAATTAAACCCTAATGCGTATACACACGCGTCTACTGTACGTCGCGCATACTGCTGTGATATTATTATCTCGCATTTAGGCTAATCGTATATATTGCAGACTTATTACTCTGGCGTGGGATCGTAACGCAACAACAAAACAATAGTGATAAACTAGATAATAATAGTAATAATAATAATAACAACAACAGCGACAACAACAATTACGAGAATAAAGAAAATGAATAATATATATACGTGAGAGTCGTTTAATTGCATTTTGAATTTTATTTTATTATTGTTGCTGTAAAATATGTAGATCTTTGTCAAATATATTCTCTCTAACACATCGGAAGCTTTTCTCTTTTCCTAAATTGTACTCTTTATATTTATCAAACGCATGTTTACTAACATTCGTGAATGTTAGTAAACATCCGTTTGATAAATATAAACAGATGTTTACTAACATTCGTGAATGTTAGTAAACATCCGTTTGATAAATACAAAAAAAATACAAAAAAGCAGTTTTATTTAAGTAAATAGATTAAGTGCAGAACATTGTAACTTTGATATAAATAGAATAAGAGAAATAAATAGAAACGATATTATGAATATACACACAATTACCTATCTGTTTCTTTCTATTTAAACTGATATTATAGTAACTTGCTACAATTGTATTTTAATTAGTTAGTTTATCAGCTCCTTCCCTCTCTCTCTCTCTCTCTTTCTCTTTCTCTCTCTCTCTCTTATTCAATTTTATCTATTGTATTCATAAATTTAACAAATTTAGAAACAAGAGTTAGAAAAAATATAAAATATATAATTTTAGCTAAAATAAATATTTTTTTTTACACAATCACTTTAATATAATAAATAATAAATTTATTATAAACTTAATATAATCTAGGAATTAATTAAAAATATATATTAATATATATTTTATTCTATATATTTTAATATGTATATTTAAAAGATATAAAAGCTAATTTAAGAAACTTTGAAAATGTTTTGTACAGTGTTTTATAAAATATTATAATTTTCTCGCAAATACTATATGTATACACATACATGTATATGTATATATATAGCCATTCACAAATTTGATGACAGACTTTTGCTGTATCTGAGTTTTGTTAAGATACTTAACTCAAAAAAAAAAGTTCGGATTTTACCAAGCTTATCGCCTAACAAGTTAATCTTTTTTGCACAAGTAATATATTTCTTACTCGAATTTTAGAATGTTATCAACAATAGCATTGACGTTTTCGATTGCTGCGCAAACCAAATTGTTGAGAAGAACAAAAAGAAAAAATAATGTTGTGTGCTGACATAATATATATAATATGACATATATATAATACGTGGCATATATATAATCTAAAGAGAGAGAAGTTGTTTTTTAATTGAGAAAATATTTTTTTAAGTAACTCACCTGCAAAGCACCAGCGACCGGTCGCGCGTGCAAAGATTACCAAGAAAATAACGAGTACGAGCACCAAAACACCCACGACAATACCGATGATTGATCCAGCGTCCAAATCAACGCCTGCAAATTATGGAAAAAAGCTTCTTCGTTATTATAGTTTCTCGTATATATTTCATATTATATTAATATCTTGGATTGACATAATTGATAAAATCTGCTAATGTAAAAAAATGTATGTTCTTGTGAATCAATGCATTTAAACTGTTTTACTGTTTCAAAATTTTCTCTGTATCTTGTATTTCAAAAATATTCCAAACATATATATATATATATATATGAAGTTTATTGAAGGTTATCGCATATATATATAATAAAACATAAAATATATACAAGGTGTCTCAGAATTGGTGTAACATCTCTCGTAGACAGATGGTAAACGGAATGAGAAGAACTAATAAACAGCATATATTAGTTCCTTTCATTCCGTTGCTACGGCTCCTTCGCGGATCTTTGTTAATTAAGATCTCGGTAATTATTGCGAATCTAGCAAAATAGTATAGAACTTTTCGATTCAGTTTTACTCCTTCTACCTGTCTACGAGAAATGTTACACCAATTCTGAGACACTCTGTATATATGTATATATATGTATATTTTATGTTTTGTATTTACATATATATATATATATGTATATGTATATACATAACACACATAATTATTTATCAAATATGTAAGAAGTAGCGCTACTATGACACATAATAAATTTTCGTCGCTGGGATTTTAATTTTTAGTGACAGTTAAAAAAAATTTCAAAAAATAAAATATTTAATAAAAGTATAATTATTAATTTACTTGAATTTACTTTTGCTTAAGTTAAATGTTAAATGTTCTTTCTTTATAGAAGACTGTAATTGTAGTATAAAAACTGTAATTAAAATAAAAATTAAGCTTAATTATATACAATTGTATACAAAAGTTGCATGTTTGATATCTCTGTTGAGGTAAAACAATGCGTTGTAAAACGATCTCACATGAAATTAAATAAACGATTGTAATGTGAATACGTATACGCAATATTTTCATCACGCAGCGTTTCGTGCGATCTGATCGAGATTTGTCGATATCGACGGCAGAATTCGAGACTGTTTTGCATGTCGTGTGTATGCCGATGTGAAAATTGATCACTTAAATTGGTAAATTCGTCATTCAATCGATGTCAACGTATTTTCTCATTTGATCGACGTTACACTTTTAATCAAATAACGGTTATTAATTTTTCAACGCAATCATCTTTCTAAGTTTATGTCAAATCGCGTTCTGCACGGAACATCGCGTTTACGTGAGTACACAGACTGTTTATATATATATTAATGTGAAAAAATGACATTACCTAGTGCGTGCATGTGTTCGGAGAGCTTACCATAGATGCTACTGAACGGTCCTGCGAGAGCATGCGGTGAAGGATATGATTAGAGATACGCACACAAAACATAAAAACGGACGCATTATCTAGAGACGGGCGCGCGCGCGTGTGTGTGTGTGATCGATGGCGATCGTTTCGTGGCGATTGCAACAATTAATAGCGCGATTTCACGAGATCGCAATAATATAATTATAATTCTGATAATGGCGAGCAATTAGTGAACAGCCAAGTGTAAATAAAACAAAAACGGTTAATTCAAGCAATCAGAAAAAAATTATGTATACAAAGCGTGTAAAAGTGTATTGATTGCTCGCGTGTTACTCTTATCACATTTGCTGTCACATATGTCACATCAATCCGAGAATGTAGGTTAATGTAGCTTAATTGAATAAAATACACACGGAGATAATTCTACGACATAATGACAAATAAAAATAGCGTGACAAATTGCGCTTTAAATATACAGTAAAAATGGAAGAAGTAGAAAAAAGTAAGATTTTATATAAGTTAAAACTATTTCACTTTTCAACTTGTATTATTATTCGGTAACAAACTTCTATACAGTTTTTGTGTTATCAATTATCGTGAAATATTTGACGTGCTCTGACACATTTTCAATATGTATAATATGACGCGTGTATTTCTAAGTGCACGGTAACGTTGTTTGATGAAAGAAAAATGCAATTTCTCGAATACTTACCAGCTGGCTCTGAGGATGTCGACAAAACGATACGATACTCGTGCGCTCCCAAGTTGTTGTTCGCCTCCAGTACGTACTCTTTCTCCGTATCAGATTTCTGAACGCTATCAATCGTCAAAATTGCGCTCCACGCACCTCTTCCCTGCAAAACGTAAAACTGTGTTATGTATATACGTACATGCATCACACGTATACGTATGTATATAAATTCGAGCTCCCCGTCTCGCCGAACTCTTAATTTTTCCCACGTTCTATCGCTCGTTAATTTAATCTTTTAATAAAATCTTTTACAATGTCGCCGCGACATGTACACGCGAAGATACGTTCGCTGTAAAGTGTTCAAAAAGGCTTTCGCTATTAATCTTCCAAATTTGGCAGATTTTGCGAAATTCTCTTTTGCAAATGATCCGTACATTAAAAAGAAGCTAATTGATAATTATAGAGCTTGTAAAAAGATTTTTCTGTTTTTATCAAAGCTATTTAAGGTTTAATCAAATGTTTCACATTTTACTAACTTTACAACCAAATAAACACTGTGCGTGTTTTAGTTTTTCTCAATTAAACAAATTTAATTTTTATTACACGTTTTTTTGCATTTGTTTGCGTCACTTTCTTTGACATAAAAAAATAGTTTTCATTTTCTCCTCTTAAGTCCGTCAGTTTTTATTACATTCTTTCGTCGTTTCTTCTTATTCCCTTCCCCCCTCTCGTCTTTCTCTCTCTCTCTCTCTCTCGTAGTTTTCTAATTGAAAAAAAAAAAAATCTATTTGACGGTTTCCAATATCACATCGAACGTTGTTCACCGGAGTGCTATTATAGGAACGAGAGCGATATGTGTACTAGAGAACCTTTCTGGGTTCCCGTTTCTCGACCGGTTAGTAATTGCGTTTTCAAAGTGGAAACTGATTCGTATTCGTCGACGGCGCGGCACGTCGTGGCGCTCTCTGAGTCGGTTTGCCGCCGCTCAGTAGCTTCGCTGCGAGAGTTGCGACTTGCGAGAGCCGCACAAGCCTATTTGAAAGCCATTCATACGCGAATCGGTAGAGCCGAATAGCGGCGGCGGTGGTAGCGGCTTTTATTGGTTCTGGCACCACGCTGGCGTTGTTCCAGAGTGTTACGCTCGCGCGAGCGTGCCTGACCAACGCTGAAAGTTTGCGTCCGAATCGTGAGTTCCGACAAAATCATCGAACGCCATTGAGGTCGCTCCCTCCCGATCGAGGAGAATAGCTCCGTGTCATTGAATTGCACTCGGTTGTGTGGTCGCGCGCGTGCCGCTCGATTAACGCTTCGGTTCTCTTCTCGCGTTCTCGAGATTGCAAGCTTGCTGTTTGCTCATAGATAGTTTTGCTACCTTTGCGATCTTTCGCCGCGAGCAACTGAGGTTGATTGAATGACACGTGAAACGTTCAATTTTGAATAAACAGACAAGTTTTCGGAAGAATCAAAGGACGCAGAAGGAAAGACAAAACACAAGCAGAAATGTGTATGAATTATCTTTATTTGTATCTTCATCAAATTGCTTGCGTTCATGTTTCGTAAAAACGTGGTTTGTTTTATTTATTTCACGAAAAACAAATCTGACAAATATTAATTATCAGACAACATAGAAAAAGATCTAGATCTTAAAAATTTTGATTTTTATTTACTTTCACCTTTTTCTTTAAATCAATTTAACAAACGGATTCTAAGAACGTGACTAACATTCGGAAAAAACAAACAACGCTTTCGACTATATCCGCTCCGTTCATCGATAATCGCGAACTAATTAAAATGTGTAAGTTGCGAAAGATCAAAACAAATTTATTTAAACCTTACAATAAAAAACTACTAGAATGAACAAACCACTTCTTGTTAAGCGAAACAAACATCTTTGCGCCGCTTGAGGACTTTCGTTGCTTGCGATAGCGCGCTTCGTCGATCAATTCCGCCGTGTCTGAATTCAATGGAATTTCATTACAGCACTGTGCTCCATGTCCGCTGTCACACAGGTGCATGGAGAATGCATCGGGTGAGCGGTAAATCGAGGCTCGGCCGCCGAGTTACAGCGCAATATTGGATTTCTGTTTCATTTGGTTTCAGTCGATCTTCCTTTTCACCACCAATTATTTCTTGACGCCACGTATATACATTTCTTTTCCGAGTCGTGCGTTATCAGTCACCGCCGTTTCAAGCTCGAGTCCAAAACAAACCACACCACGCTTTAACGTTTGCTCAACGCTCTCTACGTTTCGTCTAATCGAGTTGCCAACTGCATTTTTATCTCCGTTTGCATTAGTCTCGACGCAACAAAAGCATTAAAGAACAGCCAGCAAACCAAAATACTTAATAGGTGATTTTGTTCAGTAAAATTTCAACGAGTATGTCATAACTGACAAGAGAGAGAGAGAGAGAGAGAGAGAAATTTGTTTCTATTTATTTCCAGAAAATTATGAATATTAATATAATCTATCGTTTTTTTCTTTTTGTATCAATTGTAATATTAAAAGTGATAATTTATCGATATTCTTTATAATTAAAGATGCTTTATAATTAATCAAAATAAACTTACCATATCGACGGCGGTTGAAGTTTCCAATCGACCGCTCTCATCAGGACGACCTTCCTGAATCCTCTCGTTATTCACTCGCCATGTGAAGCTTGGCCTAGGATTCGCATTAATAGTGACATTGATAATTCCTTGTCTGCCAATAACGTATCCGAAACGTTGAAAAGTGTTTTCTGGTTGGGGTGGATCTAAGCCGAAAATAATAAGTTCTTTTTAAAAATTTGTTACTTTAAAAAAACATTTTCTGTAAAAGTTTTGTATATATTTTTTTAAAAAACACTGAATAGATTCAATACAAGTTAGGTATTGACACGAAAAATCTAAATCAGAGAACAACAAAGAGAGAGAAAGAGAGAGAGAGAGAGAGAGAGAGAGAGAGAGAGAGAACAAATAAAATGAAAAATATATATAAAAAAGGAAAAAGCAATAAACAACTCGAAGACTTTACGAAATAACGCAAATACGTGAGAAATTGCTAGGTATATTTTAAAACCGATAACTTACATTCTACATTAAGTTCCAATGTCGATTCCAAAGGCTTGTCAAGAGCAATATGATTAGCTACGCAACGAAGCATTTTGCCGTTGTCTTTCCAATCCAAACTGCGCGACGCATTCTGTATAGCCAGAGAATTGTCTTTCATGTTCGCCTCATAAACGTCGTAACCAATTGGCTCATCATCTAAATATTCAAAGAATACAACGTATCTCCACATATATTTTCTTTTTAAATATATTATATATATTTTATATTTTATATAATATATACACACATACGCACACATTGTGCTCTCTATAATCTTTGATTGAATAATGCGTATTACTCTTATGGATAATTAAGAGAGATATCCAAGATTTATTAAGTTTATTTATTAAGTTTATAACAAATTCTTTTCTTTTTTAATAAAGAAGAATCAAACGCGTGTTATACTCAAAAATATCTAAACAAAAAATTTTTCTTTGAAATTCCGAGCAATGTTTATTTATTGCATGATATTGCTTGTCGCACGATATTCATTATTATATTGAGTATTTCATATATAAATCGTAAGAGGCAAACCAAGCATTCTATATATGAATTTTAGAATTAAATTTAATTCGAATTTCCACATGTAGTAATTTGCACGTTTAAAAGAAGTAAATAAATAAATATATATATATATATAATGGCACGTAAATTTGGCATATTGGCTCGTATCAGCCTTTATATACATTTTCACGAGCTTTTAAATTGTTGACTGCTTATGTTTATTTCAGATAAAATTCTGTTTTTACTTCATTTTGACGTTCAATCTTTTAATCGATAAATTAAATCTATTTAACGCTACTTTTGAAATATTACTTTTTGATTTAGTTAAAATTAATGAGTTTAATTCTACAGTCTTATTACGTGGAGTGTGTGGATATGGCAACAATAACCGATATTATAACAAAAATAACACTTTTTTTCTGAGAAATATTAATAAATACAAACCAAGAAATAGAGTAACATTCGCTGCTGGTCGTCCATCCGAAGCGCTGCAAGTGATTTCCACTTTTTCTCCATTTCTGAACGTGGGGTTTTGATTAGAAAATCCGTGGTTTGTGTAGAGCAGGGGTTTCTTTGGTGGTTCTAAGAAATAAAAGTGAAAAAACTTCAAATTGCTCCATTGTACATATCAATCGGACACAAACTGCATCTTTTTTATCATGTTATTATCATTTATAAAATTTTATCATTTATAAAATTTGGATGACTTGAAATGAATTTTTATTTCACGACATTTTCTCGCACTAAAATAAACAACTTTTTGAAGAAATGTTTATTAATCATGTTTGTGTTTACTTCACACCATGCAATCAGACGTTTTATTATTTATTTGCTTCCGGACATAAATATATAAATTTTCAGTGATAGCAATAAAATTCATCATATACTTAAAATTGAAACAATAAACTAAAGTTGTACATAAAATAGACTATTTTCTCATTTTTGTCATTATTCAATATGACCTCCGAGATATGAGAAGGTGCGTCTTAGAAGAAATGGCACAGTGAGACTCACTCGCAACAATAATCTTCAGAGATGCAGTTTCTTCTTGTCGAGAGTCAGAAGCGGTTAAGGAGCATTTAAATATGCCATCGTAAGTTTCCTTCACTTTGGCAATACTGACGCCGCATTCGCCGGCACGTATACCATTGCCGTAATATCGAATACCATCTTCCGATGGTGCATCGTCTGGCGACAGCACCATAGCATTACTTTCACCAGGTATCTCTACGCGGCAAACGCGAAGCGGTCGACTGATTTTACACAGAATCTGCAAAGTCTCACCGACTCGCACAGCTGTTTCTCTTTTCGGGTCGATGTCTACCGTAATCGATGCTGAAAACAAATAAACGTACGAATTAATTAAAATAATAAACATATTATTTAACAGTTTGATATTTATGTTCAACACATTTTCCTATATTTAATCTGTCAGCATAATTAAGAAAAAACAGATTAGTTGCTAAAAGTAAGAAATATCACATTGTCGTTATTTTTATATCACATATACGCTTCCGAAAGAATTCAAATAGTTAAAACAAAATAAAAAAAAGAGCAAAAAAGAAGAAACATTAGTGGGAAAATTTAGAGAACATAATAAACGCCGCGAGCATCCGATAAAATATCGAGAAGGAGATTCGCACAGACGAAGATGCCGCGTCCACGAAAGATCTACGAGACAAAAAGAAAGTTGATTAAGTCTCCATCTGCACTACTTCTATCATCCCCGTGTATCTTTCTTATCATAGTTCATATCGGAAACGGGCGAATACTTTTTCGTCTTCCTATCCGTTCTTTCGTCACTACAACCTCCCCGCACAGCATGCTGATAAGTACATTTAATTCCTATGTTGCATGTTGACGTCGGTATATAGCTTCGTTTGTTGTTGCAAAATATATAAGATATTAGAAAATGGATAGCGCGCACTTGTGGCGGTCTCTAGTAAAACATCAAATAAAGCGAGACACAGAAATAAAATATAAAACAATTCTTTTTCGTGTATTAACATTAATGTACAATAATTAGAAGAAATATATCCAATAGTTATTTTTATTTTTCTAAACTTTTGTTGTAGTTTTGCGTAAATTGAGCGCATAATTGTCGACACAGATCTGTTCTACTTCAACATTATTTGCGTCGTCATTTGTTGATTCAGCTTGTCACACGAGTTTTCGTGAATATAATTCTTAAAACACAAACTTCTGTATACACAATGTACAGATATTTGACACAAACCTGATATAACAAAAATGATAAAGAAACTTTACATTAAGCATATTCTCATTATGTAACAAGTCTTTAAATATTAATGCTATTTAATATGCGCTCACATATCGTTGTTAGTTCGGTAACGTGACAATATTGTAACGGCCGACGTTATAACATAATTTTAATATTCATTACGTATAATGTACGTGACACCTATTTCTGATAATTAAAACATGTTTTGCCAAAACTGTATAATATGCACAGGATAGATATATATATACATATTTTGGAAGTAGTTTTAATTGGAGAGAGACATTTGTCGAATTGTGTTAAAACAGAACAAGAAAGTTTAAGCTTTCTTGACATAAACAAGTCTGAGCTCTTATCGCTCTTATAAAGTCTTCTTTGCGTCTATATTTTATATCTTTAGGGTTACTAAAGATAAAATATACTATAAAATATAATCTTTAGTAACTTAATAAATAAAATATAAACGTTTGTTCTTAAAAAATCCTCTGAGAAAGAGGCGACGCGACGCGACACGACGCGCCGTTTGATCGTATCGATTTCCGCGCAACTTTGGGACGTGGCATGTCATCGGCGAAACGAGATACGGCGACCGATCTCATGCACGATGCTATTATGATAATGCACTCGAAGAAATATGATAAACTGGGCGTGGCACGAGCAACGACTACCATATTTCATCTCGTCGACCAGCGACTACACTTACTAGCTCCAAGAGAAGAAGCAACTAAATTCGAATTTATCAATTTTAATATATATTTCTGCCGTTGCTATCTAAACGCAAATCTAACGAAAAAAATAACGCGCTTAAGTCTAAATGAAATTCCCAAGATCGCACTTGTTGGAAAGTAATTATTTACACAACACTACATTATAATAATACGTATTATTATATTATGCAGTGAAATTTTAAGGCTAATTAGAACATAAATACGGTAGTTTGATGTGTTATTTATTCGATATAAAATGTAAATTTAACTAAAGTTTCGACTATAAAATGTGTTCTTCTTCCAAATGTTACAAAATAAGTTAGATAATAATGTTAATCGAAGCAACACAGTGCAGACAAAGTCAAAGTCGCTGACTATGTCAAAATGATTGTCGTCGTAGTAAAGTAATTTCAACACACGTTAGAAAGACCAACCACATTCCATGGTCAAAACGTTTGTTAAATTTACATTTTATATCGAATAAATAACACATCAACACACAATCTACCATATTCGTGCTTCAATTAGCCTTAATTTCACTGCATTTGGATAATTTGAAGCCTGAATTACCACATTACTGTATCATATTACCGTATTATAATAATACACGTATGTATAGCTATGACTTTGTGTCAAAACAAAATTTGCATCTTTAAAACAAGTTAATATTTAAAGTTTTTTTCTATACAAAAAGAGAGTTCGTTACGCACACGTTTATGCCATCTTGGAAAGCCGTGTATTATTTAAAAAAATGCATCTTGGCCTTGTTGTTTTTCTTCTCCAAAAAAAAAAAGAGTGTTCTATTAGTACTCAAGTACTAAAATATTGAACCGATATCACCGCGATTTCTCGTGTATTTTGTTGTTCCGATGCGCGACACAATTGTAGATCTTCTATGTATATCCGTATTTTCTTTTATGTATCCGCATTCATCGACACATTTTTCCATTTAGATGCGTTCAAATGTGTTTTTTGTGTACGCGCGCTGATGTTTCGGTTCACGGCGTGGGATTCAATGGGTTCGTTAGAATCGTTGTGTGTGGTTTTATGACACGATGCGAACCTTTAAATGCACTAAAAAGCACATCCGAAAAAGTGCTGTTTTCTGGTATTGTCGGTGTTTTTATATTGTTTTTTTTTTTTTTTTTTTTTCAGCACTTCAATGTGCGGAATACTCTTTTGTTTCGCTATTAATCGCGACATACTTTCGCTTTTTACAATAATTTACGATTCGTGTATAAATTAAAGACTTAAGTCAATTTGTTCGCGTTGTGACATTTTGTGTGTATGATAACATCGTCTTTTCTAATAATTTTATACTTCTCCAATCTGTTTTTATTTAAGAAACATTATCATACAATATCTATTTGTATTTATTATATATTTTTCCGCTCGTGAAAATCCATAAATGAAAAGTAGGGCTAATACGAGTCGCAAACAGGGTGTCCGTGTTTTAATAAGTTGTTAAATTTTAACGTCAAACGTTTCGATCCGTATTAGGTTCTTTTTCTGTAACTATCTTAACGTCAAAAAATTTAACAAATGTTTACGGCTCGTATTTACTCTATTTTTCATTTGTTTCATTTTTATTTATTTGGTTCACATTTTCTTTTTTCTCTCCAGCTTTCAATAAAATTTGTTTTTGTGTACAATTACACAAATTTATGATGTGATTTATAAAGTGTTGTTCCTCGTTCCGATATGGTGTGCGAACTGTCAAATAATCACAGAACAATTAATTCCATACGATTTTCCGTTTATCAATTTTTTATACACAGCTGATATTACGATTTAATTTTTCCAGAAAATCGAACCAATCGTCTGTTTCGTATATGCCTGCATTGTAGAACACACATTCCTGAAAACCGCAGAAACATATACGATAATTTGTGGACATTGCGCGCGCCACGCATCTCATTACAATTATGAAATTAAAGTACTAGACTGTTTGTTACATTGATCAAACGAGCAATTATATATATATATATAGTAGTTTAAATATATTTTCATTTAATTGCAGTAGATAAAGTTCGTTACAAATAGAATTATGCAATTTTAAAATTGCAGGATCTGTAGATACACATATATGTATATATACATAAAAACACACACACACACATACACTAAATATGTATATATAATAGATATATATATATATATATATATATTTTTTGTTTTTTGGTTTTTTGAACCGCTAATTTAATTTATCCGAAAGCGGATATCTTTTATCTATATATTTTTTGTACACACGCCACGCTGCGAAGTAAATATAATGGCAAATACTGCGCCTTCGCACCTCGGTATTCTATATCCGCTCACCATTATTGACTCTTCCTCGATTCTTTGTTCTTCTTCGCAGAACGCAGCGATAACGCGACGAAAATAATCTTACTCTGGCTACCCGGCATGCAACATGCCGAAGCAATTTCGCAGCGATTTCCAATTTTCTCGGATGGCTTGTATCCCCCCCCCCTTCTCACTCCACTCGTGAAAGAAAAAGAGAATAAAAAAAACGCAAAACTGGGAGCATCTCGAATTGAAAGCAGAAAACACGAATTTTTAAATACGCATTTATTTTGTTCAATCATGTGCATTTTTTGAACCTGTGACATTCAGAACAAACCGTGTTAGATACAATAAAGTGACAAAAAGTTTTAGGATATTTAAGATAATTTTATAGAGTACACTATTACATTATTTTTTTCATCATAAACTAGAAAAAATCAATCAAGAATAAACGCATATGTAATTAAAAAAAAAAAACTAAATAACTAATAAACGTATTGAGTCATTAAGTATGAAACTTGACAAATATATATATATATATATATATAATATATATAATAAATATAAATGTATATTTATTTATCAAGTTTCATACTTAATGACTTAATATATCTCTAGATAGTTTTCTGCAATTTTGTTGATACAAGTATAATAATACTTATATCAATGAAAGCACACAGATATTTCTGTGATCGATTAATTTAAGCAAATAGAATATATTGCATATACACATCAGGTTTTATGATGCTTCGTTTGTCGATAGCATTTTGCGGATATACCGCAATCCGACCGAGTTAACCTGATATCCATTGTGGTTGCCATGGTCAGACAAAACTGTCATGATGCTCGCAAACTCGTTTCCGTGTTATTGGATGCATTTATCAGATCTCATACTTCAATAACGATTGAAGCAACACTTGAGCTTAGATAGAAGTAAAACGATTAAAATAAAAAAAAAAAAAAAACAAATCAATTTTAATATCTCACATTTATATACCTAATTAATTTTTTGTTCTGAAGCGCTCTCGTCGTATCGTAATTCAAAGCCGCGGTAAATTTAAGACTACTGTGGATTTTATATGTTTTAATTTGTTGCGCTCTAA